CAACCACAGTCACAGCATTTTTTAGTTTTTCCCAGCAATGTGTTGAACGAGAGAACATGTAGAGAACTTTGATATCAAGGTTCCAAAAAACGTGACCACTGTATCCTGCTTGGCTGCAAGTATACCCACCAAGTTGAGTGAGTAATTGTTGCAGTTCACAAATACTGCTAGGTTATTTTTCTCACTTATTTTTTGATGAACACCGCTTCTGTGTCCATCCATCACAGCAGTATTATCATAGTACTGTGACCGACAATCTCGTAACTCCATTTCGTCCTTCGCTAGCTGTTTCAGGATGTCTTTAATCAAGCTCTCTCAGCATCCTTCTGGTTTATCTGGATAAAACCAAGGAAGGACTCTCCAACACAGACTGTTTTACTCTCAAAATCAACTTCCATGTGCCTCATTACTTCTGACATCTGTTCATGGTGTTCCTGATCAGGAACCAAGTCAAACACGAGACCACAGTACTTGGCTTTACAAATGCTTCTCAGTAAACTATGGCAAACAGTGGATGCCATCATATGGATGAATTCATTCTGGACACGCCATGAAAGATAAGACATGGATCTAGGATTAATTTCCACACGAGTGAGGTGTTCTTTCATGACGGTCAAAGATGGCCAGTCGTTTCAGTAAGCCAAGAAAATTTCCCACAATTGGAGTCATTGTCCAGTTTAATGTGACTCCCTGTGTCCTCCCATAGCCAGGCTCCAAGCTGAAAGGAATTTTGTATAGTGAAGGATTCTCGTCAAAATATAACGATGCTTTTGCTTTTCCTTCTCAATCTGTGACTAAAGTTACGCGTCAATAACTCCTTTGTTTTCAGCTAAATTTCTCTCCACTGTGTGAAGCACTCCCGATGATTCTTGGCATTTTCACGAACACTAATCTTTTCAGATGCTTTCCACTGGTTGAATCCAATTTCTGCTCCAATGAGTATTGATAGCGCTTTTAATAAAACATTAAATTTCACAGTTTTGCACAAAATTCTAGACTACCTCCCTAGTTGGCACTGAGCAGTGGTACTGTGAGGTGTGTGGTCATGTAGCTCCCACCACTGTATTTTTACCTAATAATTTATATAAGTGGTTGTACAATCTAGCTAGCCTAGTGCCTCTCACCCATGATAATCGAAGACAGATCATACATCTGAAGAAAATTCGTTTTACACTGTCTGAGGATGGCTTGTCTGACTTGAGTAGAAACTGCTCAGTGGCACCCCCCCCCCCGCCCTTCAAGTGGCACAAAGGGCACGTGCCGTACCTACCATACCTTATATATGCTACTGCAGAGGTACCACCGCAATCAGACAACCAACACATTGTTGCAGTGCCACAGGAAACAACAACTTGAAGTACAGTATGGAACATCACAGATTTCTAGTAGCCAACTGTTTGCAGCAGACTCCTGTAGTGCCTCAACACTCACTCCTGTAGTGCCTCAACACTCACTCCTGTAGTGCCTCAACACTCACTCCTGTAGTGCCTCACACTCACTCCTGTAGTGCCTCAACACTCACTCCTGTAGTGCCTCCAACACTCACTCCTGTAGTGCCTCAACACTCACTCCTGTAGTGCCTCAACACTCACTCCTGTAGTGCCTCAATACTCACTCCTGCAGTGCCTCAACACTCACTCCTGTAGTGCCTCAACACTCACTCCTGTAGTGCCTCAACACTCACTCCTGTAGTGCCTCAACACTCACTCCTGTAGTGCCTCAACACTCACTCCTGTAGTGCCTCAACACTCACTCCTGTAGTGCCTCAACACTCACTCCTGTAGTGCCTCAACACTCACTCCTGTAGTGCCTCAACACTCACTCCTGTAGTGCCTCAACACTCACTCCTGCAGTGCCTCAACACTCACTCCTGTAGTGCCTCAATACTCACTCCTGCAGTGCCTCAACACTCACTCCTGTAGTGCCTCAACACTCACTCCTGCAGTGCCTCAACACTCACTCCTGTAGTGCCTCAACACTCACTCCTGTAGTGCCTCAATACTCACTCCTGCAGTGCCTCAACACTCACTCCTGTAGTGCCTCAACACTCACTCCTGTAGTGCCTCAACACTCACTCCTGCAGTGCCTCAATACTCACTCCTGCAGTGCCTCAACACTCACTCCTGCAGTGCCTCAATACTCACTCCTGCAGTGCCTCAACACTCACTCCTGCAGTGCCTCAACACTCACTCCTGCAGTGCCTCAACACTCACTCCTGCAGTGCCTCAACACTCACTCCTGCAGTGCATCAACACTCACTCCTGCAGTGCCTCAACACTCACTCCTGCAGTGCCTCAACACTCACTCCTCCAGTGCCTCAACGCTCACTCCTGCAGTGCCTCAACACTCACTCCTGCAGTGGCTCAACACTCACTCCTGCAGTGCCTCAACAGTCACTCCTGCAGTGCCTCAACACTCACTCCTGCACTGCCTCTACACTCACTCCTGGAGTGCCTCAACACTCCTGCAGTGCCTCAACACTCACTCCTGCAGTGCCTCAATACTCACTCCTGCAGTGCCTCAACACTCACTCCTGAAGTGCCTCAACACTCACTCCTGCAGTGCCTCAACACTCACTCCTGCATTGCCTCAACACTCACTCTTGCAGTGCCTCAACAATCACTCCTGCAGTGCCTCAACACTCACTCCTGCAGTGCCTCAATACTCACTCCTGCAGTGGCTCAAAACTCACTCTTGCAGTGCCTCAACACTCACTCCTGCAGTGCCTCAACACTCACTCCTGCAGTGCCTCAACACTCACTCCTGCAGTGCCTCAACACTCACTCCTGCAGTGGCTCAACACTCACTCCTGCAGTGCCTCAACACTCACTCCTGCATTGCCTCAACACTCACTCTTGCAGTGCCTCAACACTCACTCCTGCAGTGCCTCAACACTCACTCCTGCAGTGCCTCAACACTAACTCCTGCAGTGCCTCAAAACTCACTCCTGCAGTGCCTCAACACTCACTCCTGCAGCACCTCAACACTCACTCCTGCAGTGCCTCTACACTTACTCATGCAGTACCTCAATACAAGACTGCAGTGCCTCAACACTCACTCCTGCAGTGCCTCAACAATCACTCCTGCATTGCCTCAACATTCACTCCTGCAGCGCCTCAACATTCACTCCTGCAGTGCCTCAACAATCACTCCTGCAGTGCCTCAACATTCACTCCTGCAGTGCCTCAACACACTGCTGCAGCACCTCAACACAAGACTGCAGTACCTCAATACTCACTCCTGCAGTGCCTCAACAATCACTCCTGCAGCACCTCAACATTCACTCCTGCAGTGCCTCAACACTTACTCATGCAGTACCTCAACACAAGACTGCAGTACCTCAATACTCACTCCTGCAGTGCCTCAACACTTACTCATGTAGTGCCTCAACACACCACTGCAGCACCTCAACATTCACTCCTGCAGTGCCTCAACACACCAATCAGTTACACAACCCAGGGCAACATGGGTTTAGAACAGGTCGCTCCTGTCTGTCTCAACTACTGGATCACTACGACAAGGTCCTAAATGCACTAGAAGACAAAAAGAATGCAGATGTAATATATACAGACTTTGCAAAAGCCTTCGACAAGTGTGACCATGGCGTAATAGCGCACAAAATGCGCGCTAAAGGAATAACAGGAAAAGTTGGTCGATGGATCTATAATTTCCTCACTAACAGAACACAGAGAGTAGTCGTCAACAGAGTAAAGTCCGAGGCAGCTACGGTGAAAAGCTCTGTTCCACAAGCACAGTACTAGCTCCCATCTTGTTCCTCATCCTCATATCCGACATAGACAAGGATGTCAGCCACAGCACCGTGTCTTCCTTTGCAGATGACACCCGAATCTGCATGACAGTGTCTTCCATTGCAACACTGCAAGGCTCCAGGCGGACATCAACCAAATCTTTCAGTGGGCTGCAGAAAACAATATGAAGTTCAACGATGAGAAATTTCAATTACTCAGATATGGTAAACATGAGGAAATTAAATCTTCATCAGAGTACAAAACAAATTCTGGCCACAAAATAGAGCGAAACACCAACGTCAAAGACCTGGGAGTATTATGTCGGAGGATCTCACCTTCAAGGACCATAACATTGTATCAATCGCATCTGCTAGAAAAATGACAGGATGGATAATGAGAACCTTCAAAACTAGGGAGGCCAAGCCCATGATGACACTCTTCAGGTCACTTGTTCTATCTAGGCTGGAATATTGCTGCACTCTAACAGCACCTTTCAAGGCAGGTGAAATTGCCGACCTAGAAAATGTACAGAGAACTTTCACGGCGCGCATAACGGAGATAAAACACCTCAATTACTGGGAGCGCTTGAGGTTTCTAAACCTGTATTCCCTGGAACGCAGGAGGGAGAGATACATGATTATATACACCTGGAAAATCCTAGAGGGACTAGTACCGAACTTGCACACGAAAATCACTCACTACGAAAGCAAAAGACTTGGCAGACGATGCACCATCCCCCCAATGAAAAGCAGGGGTGTCACTAGCACGTTAAGAGACCATACAATAAGTGTCAGGGGACCGAGACTGTTCAACTGCCTCCCAGCACACATAAGGGGGATTACCAACAGACCCCTGGCAGTCTTCAAGCTGGCACTGGACAAGCACCTAAAGGCAGTTCCTGATCAGCCGGGCTGTGGCTCGTACGTTGGTTTGCGTGCAGCCAGCAGCAACAGCCTGGTTGATCAGGCGCTGATCCACCAGGAGGCCTGGTCACAGACCGGGCCGCGGGGGCGTTGACCCCCGAAACTCTCTCCAGGTAAACTCCAGGTAACCACTGCAACACCTCAACACTCACTCCTGCAGTGCCTCAACACACTGCTGCAGCACCTCAACACTCACTCCTGCAGTGCCTCAACACACTGCTGCAGCACCTCAACACTCACTCCTGCAGTGCCTCAACACACTGCTGCAGCACCTCAACACTCACTCCTGCAGTGCCTCAACACACCACTGCAACACCTCAACACTCACTTCTGACATAAGGATCCGGGAACTTAGAGCCACAGATGATGTTGACGGAGTCAGTGCCTGATGTAGTACCTTCAGCGATAATAAGGTAGTCTGTAAACATACAGTCTTCATTTACAGCACTGTCTGTAGAGAGAAGGAAACACAAATTTAAAAACATAACATAAACTGAAGCACATGAACATAAACACAAGTAAGAATATGAACATAAATACAAGGAAGAACTTTAACATAAACACAGAGAATTATTATTATAATAAAAAAAGAAGCGCTAAGCCACAAGGACTATACAGCTAAACACAAATAAGAACATGAACATCAACACAGTCAAATAATTGACAGATAAATGCACCTGTGTTTCATTTTACTTATAATCAACATATATCATGAATGTGGGGAATGATAAAGATTTAACAGTGGATAATCCAAGCCCGTGGCCTGGAAGGCAAAGCTCTTGCTCCACACACTGAGGTGTCCGGGTTTGATTCCCAGTAAGGGTGGAAACATTAGGCGTGTTTCCTTTCTCCTGTTGTCCCTGTTCACCCATCAGTAAAATGGTTACCTGGGTGTTAATCGATTGGTGTGGGTTGTATCCTGGGACAAAACTGACATAATTTGACCGAAATGCTCTGCATAACGAAAGGCTTTCTATATACGTACATATATATATATTTATGAAACAATATGTTTAAATTCTCCAAGTGACTTAACGGACTATCAAAGCCAGTAGAATCACAGAAATTATTCATCCACATTATCAATACTGTATGCGATAAAACAGAAAAAATGCAATTATCCTCAGCCTGTGCTAAGATCAGTAGTATGTACATGTATACTGAAAAAAAATGTGATGAGAAAATGAGAGAACTTACTGAACATAGGGAATCCGGGAATTTGATTGTCAGGATTAAGGTTGTCAGTGAGAGTAAAAGCATAATCCTCGCCCTGAGCAGCAGTCCACTTGACATTGCAGTAGCCGGACTGTTGACGAACACATATCCTGTATGTCTCCTGCAGGTGGCGTGTACCTGCCAAAGATCACCACATGTTAATCAGGCTTTATTCTGCAAATCATCACTTGTATCAAGGCATTTTTATTATAAACATATAAGCCTCCACCTCTGCACCCTCAAACTCACTTAGAACAGTAGTGATTCATGTTGTATAATTACCAAAATCCATTAAAAACATAATACTGTTCCGTATTAAATTATATGGGAAACACATTGAAGCCTATTATTTAATTGTGCATATGTACATAAGCGTGTGTGCATGTGTACATATGCACATAAGTAGAGGTATGATAAAGCTCATGGGTCAGGGAAAGTGACCCAGTAGCGACCAGTGAAGAGGCGGGGACAAAAGCTATGACTCGACCCCTGCAACTACAACTAGGTGAGTACAGCTAGGTGAGTACACAGACACATGCACACACTCACAAAAAATTGAAATGTAGGCTTTTGATTACAGAAAACTTTATATGTGAGCATATTAATTAAGGATATGAGGGAGGGAGAAAAAAGAATGAAAGACACACACACTAGTATATAAACCATACCACGGGCGGGATTTGAACCCGCGGTCAGAGAGTCTCAAAACTCCAGACCGTCGCGTTCAAATCGCGGGTTCAAATCCCGCCCGTGGTATGGTTTGTTTGCAATCGTGTTATTACGATTTCGTGAGACACTAGTATATATAAAGTAGACAATCCGATAACATGGTAGTTATGTTCCTGAAAAAAATAATATAAACTGAACTTAAGAACATTGGAAAATAGGGTTACTTTCATTATATCCCCAAAAAGCCAACCTCAATTTTTATAGGTCTCAAAATTGTAAAAAACAAATCTGATGATAATAATGTAATTGAAGATTGATTTAGTGATTTGCGTCAAAGATCCTGCAACTACATCTCTGCTAGCAGACAGAGGTACTGTAGTGTTTGGCTGTCCTACTTGTATAGGAGTTATAAAGGAGGGGTTAGAGAGGTTGGGATGTACATGAAAGGGGTTACAGCAGTTGGGTTGAGCAGGCTCAGTGTGGGGGTGGGGGTCTGACGGGTGGGGATTGGCCTACTGCTGTTCTGAAGGTAAAGACCGAATGGTGGAGGGGTGGAGCAGGAGCTGGAGGCAGGTGTAGGGAGTTGGAGGTTGCTGAGCGGTGGAGGGGTATGGGAGGTGGAGTCTGGACGCAACGAAGATGTATGATGGTGACTGTGGGTGGCAAGTGTGGCCCGGTGTGAGTGGTGGCGAGTGCTCACCTAGTTCAGGTTGCAGGGGTCGAGTCCAAGCTCCTGGCCCCGCGGTTGTGCGGTTGTTGGTGTGGGCAGTTAATGTGGGTGGTTATGTGACTAGGTGTGTTGACCATGAAAGCACGGGTAAGGTGTAAGAGTAAGGTGTAAGAGTAAGGTGTAAGAGTGAGGCTGTGTGGGCTTGAAGCTGCAAAGGAGTGGTGTGGATGAAAGTATGCGTAAGACGTGGGAGTGGGGCCATGTGGGCATGAAATTGTGAGGGAGTGGTGTGGGTGAAAGGTGTGGTTGTCAATAGCCCGGTGTGGGAGGTGATTAGACAATGGGCGACTTGGTAGGTGATTGGATGATGGGTGACTGAGAGGGTGGCAATTGGGCGGTGGGTGACTGGGTAGGTGGTGATTGAATGATGGGTGGGTGGTGACTGGATGATGGACTGGGTGGGTGAGTGTGTGGTTGGTGTGTTAGAGTGAGGGTAAGGTGTGGGTGTGAGGTCATGGCGCTGGGCAAGGTGTGGTCTTCAGGTAGTGGGGAAATGGTGTAGGTACGTGCTGTGGGAGGAACTGTATGAGTGGGTTGTGTGGAAGTAAACGGGACGGTTTAAGTGAAGGGTGAAGGCATGTGGCCAGGGATGAGTTGTCTGGGTGAAGGCTACAGGTTGGAAAATAAACAAATAAAATATGTGGATTAAATATGCCGAATCTAATACAAAATGAGAGTTGACACAGTTACTTTTTGCTCATGATAATGTGTTTTTGGGGGGCTTCTGAAGATAAGTTGCAAAGGTTAATGGGCTAGCCTGGGAAGGTGTGTAAAGGAAGTCAAAAGTGAACATAGATAAGAGTAAGGTGATGAGGGGATCAAATGAGTTGGGTAACGAAAAACTGGGTATCAGACTGCAGGGAGGGAGTATGGAGGAAGCAAATGTGTTGAGATATTTGGAGCAGATGTGTCGGCAGATTAGTATATGAACGACGAAGTAAACCATAGAATTGATGAAGGGGAAAAAGGTGGGTGGTGCACTGGGGTATCTGAGGCATAGAACATTATCCATGGAGGCAAAATGGGAAATGTATGAGGGTATAGTGGTACAGTACCAACACTTTTGTGGGTGTGAAGCATGGATTGTAAATGCTGCAGCAAGGAGGGTGGTGGCAGTGGAGACGTCGTGTCCAAGGGTAATGTGTGGTGCAAATATTATGCAGAGAACTTGTAGTGTGGAAACTAGGAGAAGGTGTGGAGTTACTAAAAGTATTGTTCAGAAGGCTGAAGAGTGATTGTTGAGGTGGTTTGGTCATTTAGAGAGGATGGAGCAAAATCAGATGACTTGGAGGGTGCATAAATCTGTGGTGGAGGGGAGGAGGGGTAGGGGTCATCCTAGGCAAGGATGGAAGGAGTAAAAAGTTTTGTGTGCAAGGGGCTTGGACATACAACAGGCATGTGAGCATACTGGACAGGAGTGAGTGGAGATAAAATGGTTTTTGGGACCTGACGAGCTGTTGGAGTGTGAGCAGGGTAATATTTTGTAGAGGGATTCAAGGAAACCAGATGGTTGGACTTGAGTCCTGGAGGTGGGAAATACAATGCCTGCACTGCAAAGGAGAGGTTTGGGATATTTGCTGTTTGGAGGGACATCTAAACTGTCGTATCTGCATGCCTCTGGCAAGACTCTGATAGCGTGAATGATGGTGTAAGTGTTTCTTTTTCATTTCACCTGCCTCAGTGGGAGACGGCTAGCATGTTCAAAAAAAAAATATATAAATAAAAGTCAGCAAGGCTGAACTTAATATTTGCTGTAAGTATTTCTGACACAGGTAAAATAGTAGAGGCCAGCAAAGTGGCAGGGCCAGTAGCTGTGACTCAACCCCTGTAACCACACATAGGTGAGTACATATATGTGAGTACAAGAGTCCCCTGGGCACTAGCGCCCCTTCGGTGCCGAGCTCAGATACTTTGTGAAACTAAACATTAAACCCTTCATCAAATGAAGGGTTCAAGAAGCCAGAATTCTAAATTTAGAAAAAAGGAAATTTGAAGGGATGAGGGAATTCTTGAATGTAGTGCTGTGGGAAAGGGAAGTGGAAGGAAAGTCAGCATTAAAAAAAGAGAAACATAAGAGCATGGTAAAAACATAGGAAGTGAAGGATAGATGAGAACAAGAATGTTAGTAGATTAGTCAGATATGAATATGCATGGGTCATGAGAGAGGTTAATTGAGCAACAATTTCAGAATGATACAGCAGCCAAGGCAAATGCTGATCCAAAACTACATCACACCCAAATCAGATCAAAGATGGCAGTAAAAAAACAGGTAATTCAATTGAAGATAGAAAAAAAAATCATGAAAAAATGGTGAGAAAGTTTAAAAAAGGTTTAAACAGGTATTCTCGGTGGAAATGAGCAATACTGAAAGCCTAGGAAAATGGGTATGCCAAAAGATGGCGGACACCACGCACACAACAGGGTAAGAGGAAAAAAAATAAATGCTGGAGTTAGATACATTTGTGCTACTGTAACTTTATACTGTTATTGATGGTATTTATAGACCGAGTTTTGTTAATCAATACAATAGCTGTAATAATAATAACAAATTAGTTATGTTAACAGCAGCATTGACATAATGTACATCCAGCTAGTCAATGTCAAATAATTTTAAGTATATTTGTAATATGCCTGAAATACATTGCATAATTAAGGGATTTTCCATGTAAGAAAGTACCAGTGTATAATTATATTTGTAAAACTTGTATAATCTTGGAAAACAAATATATTTTACTTATTTATTTAACATCAGAGCAAGGTAATATAAACACTCACCGGTTAACCCAGTACTAGGATGTGTTCGAGAGGAAGCGAGTGTGTGATAGTTGAAGCTCTTAACTTGACCACTGGGACTCTTGTAGTACTGAGTGCATCCTGTTGGTGCTGATGGACGAAACGCACCATTAATAAGAAGTTCATCACTCATCACCATGCTAGTCAATAACCTTTAACAAATCCTCTAAACTAATTATAGACTAATGCAGTAATTATTAGCTTAATACTCTACCAATCACTCAAAACATTACCTAACCCAACTTACAAATTATACCTGAGAATTAGCTTGCTACAGTCAGATAATTCATTTATAAAGATGATTAGGCAGGAGTACCAGATAACAGGATGAGGGGATTCAACTAGGGCACTGGAGTCCCACACACACAAAAGTCTCCCACAATGCTGGTTTGTGGGTAATCTGAGAATAAATACGTATATGATGCTGTGAAGGATTGTTGATATTAACACACACAAACAGGCCAAAGGTCTTTTTGACAAATGCCTTTGACAAATGGTAACTATCTAACTCTCCCACACATGCACGCATGCAAACATACACATGCACACACACGCGCACGCACGCATGATCAGACCCTGATCCACCATGAGGCCTGGTCACAGACCGGGCCACGGGGGCGTTGACCCCCGAAACCCTGTCCAGATATACTCCAGGTAGGGTGGACAGGAACAGATTATTTGAGAGGCGGAAAAGAGGAACATGAGCGTACAGCTGGAAGCTGACAACATAGATGAATCACAGGGACACTAGGAAGTATTTCTTCAGCCTGAAGAAGTCAAAGTGGAATAACCTGGGGAATGAAGTGGTAGAGGCAGGATCCATACATAGCTTTAAGAAAAGGTACAATAAGCAGGGGCAGATCTACTATGAAACTAATGAAGCTTAAACGTCAGGGCCCCTAATCCCGGAGGGGCTTCAGAAGTGACTTCAGTCCACATTGCTTAAAAACTCTGGGTCTACCGTATGAGAAAGAGTTGTGAAGGGGCGCTCATAACAGTTCAAGCTTCAGGGCCCCAGAAATGTAGGTCCGCCACTGACGATAAGACTCTCAAAGCCAGGAAAGAGTGAACCTAGTAGCGACCATTGGAAAGATGGGGCCAGGACATCAGGAGATGGAGATGAGATTCAACCCCTGCAACCACAAATAGGTAACTGTACACACACACACACACACACACACACACACACACACACACACACACACACACACACACACACATGGTGAGTACAATTAGATGAGTACACGCACAAACACACACAAACACAGACCCCTGCAACCACAATTAGGTGAGTACAATTAGGCGAGTACACGTTCCAGACCCTGTGCACCACCCTGTACATCAGTCCCATAATGGAGTATGGACCTCCAGTTTGGAACCCTCACCTGGTCAAGGACGTTAGGAAACTAGAGAAAGTGCAAAGGTTTGCAACGAGACTAGTCCCGGAGCTAAGAGGTATGTCCTACGAGAAGATGTTAAGAGAACTCGACCTGACGACACTAGGTTAGGTTAGGTAAGGTTCGTCAGGAAACAGGACAAGTGTTTCCTGATGTGAGTCTTAGTCAGATGATGACCCTCCGTTGGAGCTTTTGGTCATCTGACTGAGGCCTTCCGCTGGCTTACCGGTCCACCCCTTTAAAAATTATGGTCAGTTATAACCATTAAGTTATTGTCCTGACGACACTGGACAGAAGGGACAGGGGGGGACTTGATAGTGACATAAAATACTGAGAGGAATCAATTAGGTGGACAGAGACAGGATGTTCCAGAGATGGGACACAGCAACACGGAGTCGCAGCTGGAAGCTGAAGACTCAGATGAATCACAGGGATGTTAGGAAGTATTTCTTCAGTCACAGAGTTGTCAGGAAGTGGAATAGTCTGGAAAGTGAGGTAATGGAGGCAGGTACTATACATAGCTTTAAGAAGAGGTATGATAAAGCTCATGGAGCAGGGAGAGAAAGGACCTAGTAGCGACCAGTGAAGAAGTGGGGCCAGGAGCTATGAATCGATCCTGCAACCACAATTAGAGGAGTACACACACACACACACCGAGCACGTCACCGGAGGCACACATCAACCAAATAACTGCTGCAGCATACGGGCGCCTGGCAAACCTGAGAATAGCGTTCCGATACCTTAACAAGGAATCGTTCAAGACACTGTACACTGTGTATGTTAGGCCCATACTGGAGTAGGCAGCACCAGTCTGGAACCCACACCTGGTTAAGCACGTCAAGAAGTTAGAGAAAGTACAAAGGTTTGCAACAAAGTTAGTTCCAGAGCTCAGGGGAATGTCGTACGAGGAAAGGTTGAGGGAAATCGGCCTGACGACACTGGAGGACAGAAGGGTCAGGGGAGACATGATAACGACATACAAGATACTGCGGGGAATAGACAAGGTGGACAGAGACATGATGTTCCAGAGAGGGGACACAGAAACAAGGGGTCACAATTGGAAGCTGAAGACTCAGACGAGTCACAGGGATGTTAGGAAGTATTTCTTCAGTCATAGAGTCGTCAGGAAGTGGAATAGCCGGGACCCGATGAGCTGTTTTCCAGGGTACTTAAGGAATGCAAGATGGAGCTTAGTCAGTCATTAACGAGTGCATTCAATGCGTCCATCCTTACCGGTGTTGTGCCAGAGTTGTGGAAGATGGCTAATGTGGTTCCTATATTCAAATCAGGGGATAAGTCCACTCCTTCAAATTACCGTCCAATAAGCCTGACATCTATAGTGGGCAAGTTATTAGAATCAATTATAGCTGACATTATCAGAAGTCACCTTGAAGAGGATAACTTGATAAATGAATCTCAGCATGGATTCACGAGAGGTCGTTCCTGCCTGACAAACTTACTGACGTTCTTCAATAGAACATTTGAGGCAGTTGACAGTGATAAGGAATATGATATTGTTTATTTGGATTTTAGTAAAGCCTTCGATAGAGTACCTCACAAGAGACTCTTAAGAAAAGTGGCAGCTCATGGTATGGGAGGTAAAGTTCTAGCATGGATTGAGGCATGGCTTACCAATAGAAAGCAGAGAGTTACCATTAATGGAGTGAAATCTGAATGGGGATTAGTCACTAGTGGCGTTCCACAAGGATCAGTTTTAGGCCCTCTCTTGTTCATAATTTACATTAATGACCTTGATGAAGGGATTACTAGTGACATGAGTAAGTTTGCTGATGATACAAAGATAGGCCGTATAATTCACTCTGAGGAGGATATCAATGAACTCCAGGACGATTTGGACAAATTAATGTCTTGGTCTGAAAAATGGCAGATGAAGTTCAATGTGGATAAGTTTAAGGTACTTGCCCTTGGTAATGAAAATAACCCTCGAAGCTATAATCTAGGTGAAGTAGAGCTTGATCATACAGAATGTGAAAAAGACTTGGGAGTCATGGTAAGTAGAAATCTAAAGCCAAGACAGCAGTGCCTTAGTGTGCGCAACAAGGCCAACAGATTACTTGGATTTATCTCAGGAAGTATAAGTAACAGTTCAGCTATCATAACTTTGGGGTCCAGTCCCTGGACCCACTTTGTACCTCTGTAATCTTTTGACTACCGCCTACAGGATGGGTATGGGGTGCATAATAAATATATTAAACTAACTAAAACTTGTGACGATGAAGCCGTGGCCTCATGTCCCCAGAGTGAGCTGCCGTACTACACCTCTGCCCACTACGACAGTGCCGTACTAGGCCTCTGCCCAGTACGGCTGTGCTGTACTACACCTCTGCCCAGTACGGCAGTGCCGTACTACACCTCTGCCCAGTACGGCAGTGCCGTACTAGGCCTCTGCCCAGGACGGCAGTGCCGAAAATTGCAGGAGATAGCTTCCTACCTACCAAGACACAGTCCCCTCAATGATGCATTACCTGTCTTGGGTTAACCTGGGTGGCTAACCCTCCGGGGTTAAAAATCCATAAAATCTTATCTCTCTCTCTATTATCTTACCCTGGGACTCCCACAACACTTAATCTGGCACCACTGTCTAGGCAGAAGTGAGTAACCCAGAGAGGCCAGGTGCGTAGTACTCACCCAGGTCAGTGGAACCACAGGAGATCTGCTGCACTTGGATGTTCCAGGAAGATGCTGAGTTGGCTACGATGGTCTCCACTGTAACAAGGAAGGGTCCAGCATCCCTACTCACATCCACGTAATCTGATAAAACACATAACTGAAGTTAAAATAATCCAGACCTTAGCTACCAAAACACACTGTAACACTGACACTGACCCACATCTTCAAGAGTTATCCTCCAACACTGCACCAATATATTATTACATTGTAATGTGAAAAAAAAATAAAATTTTCAGTTAGGAAGATGATGATTCCTGTTTTTTTATCTACAGATTAACATTATTCTAGAGAAAAAGATGTACACATTAAAATAATAATAATAATAATAATAATAATAATAATAATAATAATAATAATAATAATAATAATAATAATAATAATAATAAAATGATAATAATGTGTCAGGGGCCCGAGACTGTTCAACTGCCTCCCAGCATACATAAGGGGGATTACCAACAGACCGCTGGCTGTCTTCAAGCTGGCACTGGACAAGCACCTAAAGTCGGTTCCTGATCAGCCGGGCTGTGGCTCGTACGTTGGTTTGCGTGCAGCCAGCAGTAACAGCCTGGTTGATCAGGCTCTGATCCACCAGGAGGCCTGGTCACAGACCGGGCCGCGGGGGCGTTGACCCCCGGAACTCTCTCCAGGTAAACTCCAGGTTACTCCTTGCCAATGCTTATTGATTTTGGGGGAGGGGGGGAAGGGAAGCCTTAGGGGGCTGTATACCAAATAAATGTAGCACTTTTGTTTACCGTCCGAGTTCCTCCAGTTTCGGTGCACAAGACAAAGTGTTTTCACTCTTTCTTGAAAATATTTATCAAAAATATACCTCAAACAACAACTGAGAAAATAGTGAAAAAGGACTGATTTACTGAAAATGCCCTTTGGCACGGTGGTAGGCCTATATGGGACGAGGTAAGGTTGTTTGGACACTTGGTGCCGAGAGAACAATGTTTATAGGTATTTATAATTGTTACCTTCCCTCTAAATAACTTATCTTTATTTCACAAAAAAAAAATAAAGTTTGTTAGTTCTTGGAATGTTGCAAAAAATCTGCCGTTTACTCCCACATAACTCACAAAACATTTGGAATATTTCCAAAAATGAATAACTGTTAATTAGAGAAATCATTATTCTACAATTTCTGTGAATATTATTATATTTAATTAAGTAATAAAAGCAGACTAGGTACCGTAAAGTAAATAAGTTACTTTCGAGATATCGGCCTGGAGCGCCGGCAGGGCCACCGTCTCAAAAAACAAAAAATACAAAAAAATCGCGAAAATCGCGTTTGTTTGGGTGTATTTCTTAGTAAACTGATGTTCTAGTGCAGTAAACCTCTTCAAAACACCGTTTTCTCTTACTCAGAGACCAAAGAATACGACATGAGAGTAGTAACTCATTTATATCGAAATATTCCCGATTGTCTCTCGCCATATTATGGCTTATTTTATTCAGTCTAGACTATATAACATGTTTGTATGTTATTTATAGTGTTTATTATATCATATTAGATCAATTCTGATAGATAAATAAGCCCTAGAGTTGATATATAAGCTGATATAAGCGTAATAATGAAGTGATTTCTCCTGGCACTCTCTGGAGCGGGAACACTGCCGAGTGATCCCATATGGTGCCTGGTTGTCTCTAAGTCTACGGATAAGCTCCGCCTACTGTTTTATGATGCCAAATAGTCAGTTATTATATTAGAAAAAATAATGCAAGAAAAAGAGATAAAAAACAAGGAAAAAATCCAAAAAATATATGGGCTGTGAGCAGACTCGCTACCCACATCACCGTCACCATACCTGATATAAATGGCTATAATTTCTTGTAGAAACGTCATAGAACATTCATTCTGGTACCATTGTATTGCCAAAGAGTTAAGCTATTTTTCGGCATGAATAACTCAATTTCCATAATTTTTCGATTTTTTTTTTTGACCGCGCGGAAAATTGCGATACAGCCCCCTTAGTTTCCCTCTGACTACTTCCCATCTCTTTTAATTAACTGCCTCACCTAATCATTTTTCTCCTACTTACTGTTATTTCTTTCTGACTATTTTAACGCATGCACCTACTTCATTCTCCCTCTCGACCCGGTCTACATCTCCCTTACTCTCTCGCTATTTTCCTGACTGCTCCTCCCTCATCCCCCCCCCCACTCTATCTTCCCACTTGTACCTCACTGATTCTTCCATTATCCTCCTGCCAGAACTGGCATCATTTTCCTCTCCCTATCTCATGCCAGCACTTCCCTCATTCTTCCTCCCTATCGTCTTACCAAAACTCCTCCATTCTCTCTCTCTATCTTCCTACCAACCCCTCCCCCATCCTCTCTCCCTTATCTTCCTACCAACACCTCCCCCATTCTCTTTATCTTCTTACCAATATCTTCCCCATTCTCTCTCCCTATCATCCTACCAATACCTCTCTCCCTATCTTCTTACCAATACCTTTCTCCCTATCATCCTACCAGCACCTCCCTCCTCCTCTTCCCTTACCTTTCAACCAGTGTCTCAAGACACTGGTGACATGTCTATCTCTTAAGTCTTGTCTCGTGCTTAGTAGGAGGAGGACTGAGCCTCCATAAATTGTGCAGGATGACTCACACAGCCTAACTGTTTCAGTAAATTAATAAAGATGTTGGCTGGTACTCACAGTGCTGGCCAGTGTTGAGGCCACAGATCCTGGGGTGAGAGCCGGTGGTACCTTGGATCTCCAGGTACTGGTCATTACATGCACCTTCTGCATCTGGCTCACTCAGCTCAGCTTTCTTCATTTCCAACCGTAGCTGCCATGACGAACAGAGACAAGTTCTTTAATTATGCATTTATAAATTATTATTATTATTATTATTATTATTATTATTATTATTATTATTATTATTATTTATTTTTTTTATTATGTAACACACCGAGGTAGGGTAGCACCAGAAAGAAGAAACACTTTCATCATCACTCACTCCATTGGTCCCCTGCTCTTCCTCATATACATCAATGATCTTCCAAACGTATCCCAACACCTGAAACCCATTCTCTTTGCTGACGACACGACTTATGTCATCTCTCACCCTAATCTTGCCACCCTCAACACCATTGTTAACGAGGAGCTGATCAAAATATCGACTTGGATGACAGCCAATAAACTTACGCTTAACACTGACAAAACCTACTATATTATGTTTGGTAGCAGAGCAGGAGATGCACAAATTAAACCATACCCCCGGCCATAGAGTCTCAAAACTCCAGCCCGTCGCGTTAGCCACTAGACCAGCTAGCCACAATAAGATTCATCCAACTAGGTATATTTCTACACCATAGGAAAGTTAGCACAGGCACCTCTGTGACCACAAATGCAAGTTTTTACAGACGAATCTCCAGCTAGCGTGGCCGTGACGAACTCTAGCTCAAGTCCCTTCACTGCCGTCAACATGACTTAAGAAATCGTAATGACACGATTGCAAATAAACCATACCCCCGGCCGGGATTGAACCGCGGTCATAGAGTCTCAAAACTCCAGCCCGTCGCGTTAGCCACTAGACCAGCTAGCCACAATAAAATTCATCCAACTAGGTATATTTCTACACCATAGGAAAGTTAGCACAGGCACCTCTGTGACCACAAATGCAAGTTTTTACAGACGAATCTCCAGCTAGCGTGGCCGTGACGAACTCTAGCTCAAGTCCCTTCACTGCCGTCAACATGATTAAGAAATCGTAATGACACGATTGCAAATAAACCATACCCCCGGCGGGATTGAACCCGCGGTCATAGAGTCTCAAAACTCAGCCGTCGCGTTAGCCACTAGACCAGCTAGCCACAATAAGATTCATCCAACTAGGTATATTTCTACACCATAGGAAAGTTAGCACAGGCACCTCTGTGACCACAAATGCAAGTTTTTACAGACGAATCTCCAGCTAGCGTGGCCGTGACGAACTCTAGCTCAAGTCCCTTCACTGCCGTCAACATGACTTAAGAAATCGTAATGACACGATTGCAAATAAACCATACCCCCGGCCGACGGGCTGGAGTTTTGAGACTCTATGACCGCGGGTTCAATCCCGGCCGGGGGTATGGTTTATTTGCAATCGTGTCATTTACGATTTCTTAGTCATGTTGACGGCAGTGAAGGGACTTGAGCTGAGAGTTCGTCACGGCCACGCTAGCTGGAGATTCGTCTGTAAAAACTTGCATTTGTGGTCACAGAGGTGCCTGTGCTAACTTTCCTATGGTGTAGAAATATACCTAGTTGGATGAATCTTATTGTGGCTAGCTGGTCTAGTGGCTAACGCGACGGGCTGGAGTTTTGAGACTCTATGACCGCGGGTTCAATCCCGGCCGGGGGTATGGTTTATTTGCAATCGTGTCATTACGATTTCTTAAGTCATGTTGACGGCAGTGAAGGGACTTGAGCTAGAGTTCGTCACGGCCACGCTAGCTGGAGATTCGTCTGTAAAAACTAGCATTTGTGGTCACAGAGATGCCTGTGCTAACTTTCCTATGGTGTAGAAATATACCTAGTTGGATGAATCTTATTGTGGCTAGCTGGTCTAGTGGCTAACGCGACGGGCTGGAGTTTTGAGACTCTATGACCGCGGGTTCAATCCCGGCCGGGGGTATGGTTTATTTGCAATCGTGTCATTACGATTTCTTAAGTCATGCACAAATTAACATTAAGATCGACAACACTCTAATTACCAGACATAATGAGGGCAAATTCCCAGGCCTATAACTTGACAACAACCTGAATTTCAGCACCCATATCCAACACATAACCAAAAAAGTATCCAAAACGGTTGGGATCCTCTCCAAGATACGATACTACGTGCCGCAAAATGCCCTTCTCACACTATACCACTCACTTATTTATCCATACCTCACCTATGCTATTTGTGCTTGGGGATCAACTGCAGCAACACACCTAAAGCCAGTAATAGCCCAACAAAAAGCTGCAGTAAGAATAATCACTAAATCCCATCCCTGGCAACACCCCCCCCCCACTCTTCATAGATCTAAATTACTCCCTGTTCAGTACATCCACACTTACTACTGTGCAATCTACATCTACAGGACCTTAAACTCCAATATCAACCTTGACCTAAAACGCTTTCTTGATAGTTGTGACAGAACCCACAGGCATAACACCAGACACAAACATCTCTACGACATTCCCAGTGTGTCCGACTAAACCTTTACAAAAAATTCAATGTATGTCAAAGGCCCTAAATCTGGAACACCCTACCTGAGAACTCTAGAACTGCAGACACATTCATCACCTTCAAAACTACCATTAGAAAACATCTTATCTCCCTGATACACCCCGTCAACTAACTACACGAATACCACCTGGTGGTTCACACTTACACTCACTCACCCATTTGACCATAAACAGAAATATTAATCTCAATCTTAAAATAATGAATCCTGTGATACTCCAATACTGAAACTATGTACTGTGCCAAAACAAAAGCATTCACATTGCTAAACTCACAATCTAGTATTTAGTCACTTAGCCATAATACCAACTTACCTCATAATTTGTAATATTTTAAAATTAAGAATTAAACTAAGTCTGCCCGAAATGCCTAGCCATGCTAGGTGTTCTAGTGGTACACTCTGTAATCATTATTTTACTACATGTAAACCACACAATAACCAAATTCTGTAAACTCAGCATTGTAATCCTTATAGAGAATAAACTTTGAATTGAATTGAATTGAATTGTTATTAATAATATTATTATTATTTCTTTCAACAAACTGGCCGCATCCCACCGAGGCAGGGTGGCCCAAAAACATGACACTCTATCCAGGCTGGAATATTGCTGCACACTAACAGCACCTTTCAAGGCAGGTGAAATTGCTGACCTAGAAAATGTACAGAGAACCTTCACGGCGCGCATAACGGAGATAAAACACCTCAGTTCTGGGAACACTTGAAGTTCCTCAACTTGTACTCTCTAGAATGCAGGCAGGAGAGATACATGATTATATACACCTGGAAAATCCTAGAGGGACTAGTACCAAACTTGCACACGAAAATCACTCCCTATGAAAGAAAAAACTCGGCAGACGATGCAACATTCCCCCAGTGAAAAGCAGGGGTGTCACTAGCACGATAAGAGACAACACAGCAAGTGTCAGGGGCCAAAGACTGTTCAGCTGCCTCCCAGCATACATAGGGGGTTTAACCAATAGACCCCTGGCTGTCTTCAAGAATGCTGGACAGGCACCTAAAGTCAGTACCTGACCAGCCAGGCTGTGGTTCGTATGTTGGGTTGCGTGCAGCCAACAGCAACAGCCTTGTTGATTAGGCCCTGATCCACCATGAGGCCTGGTCACAAACCGGGCTGTGGGGGCGTTGACTCTCGAAACCCTCTCCAGGTATACTCCAGGTATAGCATACATTGAATACATACATACATGCAGAATCGACTCGGAACAGGATCCTGCAGGAGAAAGCACGATTAAGGGACATGCCGGCATACAGGAAGGTGTATCTCGACTGCGACAGAAACAAGAAGAAAGGCAGAAACTGAGAGAGATGGTACAAAGGCGAAAGGAGGAAAGAGAGGGGATGGAGAAGACAGACAGGAGATCCCAGACCCAGAAAGAAGATCAAATACAGCCTCCCTCACAACTTCCTATAGAAGCCTCCCAACCAGGTCAACCCCAGCGCAACCAAACACTCTAAACCAAAACACCCATGCCACATCCAATGCCCCCACCCACTGCATTACAAACTCCACCCCCACAGCAACCACCCATAGTTCAACTGCCTCCCAGCACACATAAGGGGGATTACCAACAGACCCCTGGCAGTCTTCAAACTGGCACTGGACAAGCACCTAAAGTCAGTTCCGGATCAGCCGGGCTGTGGCTCGTACGTTGGTTTGCGTGCAGCCAGCAGCAACAGCCTGGTTGATCAGGCTCTGATCCACCAGGAGGCCTGGTCTCAGACCGGGCCGCGGGGGCGTTGACCCCCGGAACTCTCTCCAGGTAAACTCCAGGTCTCCAGTTCCTTATCAGGTCTCCCACTTCCGCAACCCCAATATACCTCCCAGACCACAGTCTTAGAAAAGAAGTTGAAGGTGTGGTATACAAATGCAGATGGAATAACAAATAAGTATGAGGAGTGGCATGAAAGAATCAAGGAGACATCCCCAGACATAACAACACTCACAGAAACAAAACTCACCAGAATAATAACAGATTCAATCATTTCATCCGGATATCAAATCCTCAGGAAAGACAGAGGGAGGAGAGGGGGAGGAGGAGTTGCACTGCTCGTTAAAAACCGGTGGGGGCTGAGAAAATGGAAGGAATGGATGGCACGGGCGAAAGGGACTACTTAGTAGGAACAATCCAGTCTGAGGGACATAAGGTGATAATTGCAGTAATGTACAACCCACCACAGAACTGCAGGAGGCCAAGAGAAGAATACGATGAGAGCAACAGAGCAATGGTCGACACACTAGCCGAGGTAGCCAGGAGAGCACACATGGGAGGAGCAAAGTTACTAGTTATGGGTGATTTCAATCACAAGGAGATTGACTGGAAAAACCTGGAGCCCCATGGGGGTCCCAAAACATGGAGAGCCAAGATGATGGATGTGGTACTGGAAAACCTCATGCATCAACATGTTAGAGACACTACCAGAGAGAGAGGAGAGGATGAACCAGCAAGACTGGACCTTATATTCACCTTGAGTAGTTCAGACATCGAGGATATCATGTACGAAAGGCCCCTGGGAGCTAGTGATCATGTGGTTCTGTGCTTCGACTACATAGTTGAGCTCCAAGTGGAGAGAGTAGCAGGAATAGGTTGGGAAAACCAAACACAAAAGGGAGAACTACTCAGGCTTTGAGGAATTTCCCTTTTCAAGACATTCAGTGGGAGAGGGAACTGACAGGAAAACCAGTAAAAGAAATGATGGACTATGTGGCAACAAAATGCAAGGAGGCAAGGAGAGGTTTGTTCCCAAGTGAAACAGAAATAATGGGAAAGAACAGAACGGGCCCCTTGGGTTTCCCCCAAAAGGTGTAGGGAGGCAAAAACTAGGTGTACTAAGAATGGAAAAGGTACAGAAGACAGGAAAAACTCAGGAAAAAAAAAGAGATTAGCCGAAGAGCCAGAAACGAATATGCACAGATAAGAAGGGAGGCTCAGCGACAATATGAAAATGACATAGCATCGAAAGTCAAGACTGACCCGAAGCTGTTGTACAGCCACATCAGGAGAAAAACAACAGTCAAGGACTAGGTAATCAGACTGAGGAAGGGGGATGGGGAGTTCACAAGAAACGACCGAGAGGTATGTCAGGAGCTCAACACGAGATTTAAAGAAGTGTTTACAGTGGAAACCAGTAGAACTCCAGGTAATCAAAACAGGGGGGTACACCAGCAAGTGCTGGATGAGGTACATATAACCAAGGAGGAGGTGAAGAAGCTGCTATGAGAACTTGACACCTCAAAGGTGGTGGGACCAGACAACATCTCTCCGTGGGTCCTTAAAGAGGGAGCAAAGATACTGTGTGTGCCATTAACAAAGATCTTCAACACATCATTTGAAACTATCAACTCCCTGAGGTATGGAAGATGGCAAATGTAGTCCCAATTTTTAAAAAGGGGGACAGACAAGAGGCACTAAACTACAGACCTGTATCACTAACGTGTATAGTATGCAAGGTCATGGAGAAGATCATCAGGAGGAGAGTGGTGGAGCACCTGGAAAGAAACAAGTGTATAATTGACAACCAGCACGGTTTCAGGGAAGGAAAATCCTGTGTCACAAACCTACTAGAGTTTTATGACAAGGTGACAGAAGTAAGACAAGAGAGAGAGGGGTGGATCGACTGCATTTTTTTGGACTGCAAGAAGGCCTTCGACACAGTTCCTCACAAGAGATTACTGCAAAAGCTAGAGGATCAGGCACACATAACAGGAAAGGCACTGTAATGGATCAGAGTCATGGTACGTGTCGAGGTGTTAGAGTGGGCACCTGTGACAAGCGGGATTCCACAGGGGTCAGTCCTAGGACCTGTGCTGTTCTTGGTATATGTGAATGACATAACAGAAGGGATAGACTCAGAAGTGTCCTTGTTTGCAGATGATGTGAAGTTAATGAGAAGAATCAAATCGGATGAGGATCAGGCAGGACTACAAAGAGACCTGGACAGGCTACAAGCCTGGTCCAGCAACTGGCTGCTTGAGTTTAACCCTGCCAAATGCAAAGTCATGAAGATTGGGGAAGGGCAAAGAAGACTGCAGACACAATATAGTTTAGATGGCCAAAGACTGCAAACCTCACTCAAGGAAAAACATCTGGGGGTGAGTATAACACCGAGCATATCTCCTGAGGCGCACATCAATCAGATAACTGCTGCAGCATACGGGCGCCTGGCAAACCTACAGATAGCGTTCCGATACCTCAGTAAGGATTCGTTCAAGACTCTGTATACCATTTACGTCAGGCCCATACTGGAGTATGCAGCACCAGTTTGGAATCCACACCTAGTCAAGCACGTCAAGAAATTAGAGAAAGTGCAAAGGTTTGCAACAAGACTAGTCCCAGAGCTACGGGGATTGTCCTACGAAGAAAGGTTGAGGGAAATCGGCCTGACGACACTGGAGGACAGGAGGGTCAGGGGAGACATGATAACGACATATAAAATACTGCACGGAATAGACAAGGTGGACAAAGACGGGATGTTCCAGAGAAGGGATCCAGAAACAAGAGGTCACAATTGAAAGTTGAAGACTCAGATGAATCAAAGGGATTTTAGGAAGTATTTCTTCATTCATAGAGTTGTCAGACCGTGGAATAGCCTAGAAAGTGACGTAGTGGAGGCGGGAACCATACATAGTTTTAAGGTGAGGTATGATAAAGCTCATGGGGCAGGGAGAGAGAGGACCTAGTAGCAATCAGCGAAGAGGCGGGGCCAGGAGCTATGAATCGACCCCTGCAACCACAAATAGGTGAGTACAAATAGGTGAGTACACACGTACATACATACAGTACATGCAACTAATAACAACAGAGTTATCAATAAATGCAAAACAAGTCATGTACTGTAATACAACACTCACCTGGCAGACATTATTGCTTTTGCTGATGGAGAGGGAGCAGCTTCCTACGTTAGTGGCTGTGGTGCTGCTACTGGTAAAATATGACGTTCTGGCCGAGGAGGTTCCACCACATGTCTTCTCAACTGTGTGTGTGTGTAGAAGGGATTGGAATCCATTTAGGCACTGTATTCAGGTCTGATCATTTATGGGGCTGAAACTGTTGTCTTTTATTTGGATCTATTCAATAATGATATAAAACTATATAGTACATATAAGCAATCAATTAGTTATTGCCTTATTAGGCTTAAGATATACTTAAGTTTACCCTGAATGCTCTACATACTAAAGGGCTTTCTGCATGTACACCTAAATGTCACCCATCTCTGTATAAACACTGTACCATACTGAAGTAATATTTAATCCTTAGACCCTTACAAAATATACTGAACTGGAAGTAATAAGGTTGGAGGAAAGGGGTAAGGGAGGTTTTGAGTGCTGGGGACTTGGACGTCCAACAAGCTTATGTGAGAGTATCAGAAAGGAGTAAGTAGAGGCAAGTGGTTTTCAGGGAAGCTGGGGAAACCAATTAACTGGACTTGAGTCCTGGAGGTAGAAAGTACAGTGCCTGCACTCTGAAGGAGGAGGAGAGGATGTTGATGTTCAGAGGGTCGTCAGAGTTATGATGCTAGAAATCTTCTGGTAAGACAGTGATTGAATGAATGAATGAAAGCTTCTTCTTTATTGGGTCACCCACCTTGGTGGAATAAGGTTTGATCCAAAGGAGGATTGAATCAATTCCTTGGATCAAGGGTGAGCATAGAGGGGAGAGGCTTAGGCATAAGTTGGTAAACCTTAAGTATGGTGAGGGAGGATAGAGAGGGGTTGGTTTTGAGAAAGAAAATAGCAGAAACAGATGAAAGGTGCTGGAGGGAGGAAGAGAGAAGGAAGCAGTGGGTAATACTCACAGACACAACAATCACCAATGCCAAAGGTAAACAAGCAGTTGCCCTTGACAGTGCCACCCATTTTCCTGCAGGAGAAGTATGGGAGGCATGAACCAGTCTGCCCCAGCACCTCACAGGAACTAGCAGTCACCGTCACCAGAACTTTAGGGAAGACATACAAGCTTAACCAGTACATATTAGAGGATGGGCACAGTAGTGTGTGAACATTTGGGGAAATTGTTAGTTTGTTTGTCAGAGAAAACTTGACACTGTACTGCAATCACTTGCAATCTTGTTGCTTGGTTTTACTCTACTCTTTAATGTATTCCAGTCCGAATTTATTTCTGTCTAGTAGTTTAAAATAAGGACTATTTTTGAACCATTATGAAATTATAAAAACATTTGAGTTTTTTTGGAGGTATGAGGAACACAACCCTATTTTTCCCATATAATCTTCAGTTCATAAGTCACAGAAATCATTGGCAGCACAGATTTTAAGAACTTAACCCACTCAAATTATTGTCAGGTGTACAATATTTACAACCTATCTACAAAATAGGTAGCTATTTCTCCTGTAATTTGTTATTTTGGAAGATATTAGCAAAAAACAAAATCTTTATTTTGCCTCAATTGCCATGAGTTCACCCAAAGGTGCAAGGAGGCAAAAACCAAGTGTGCTAGGGAATGGAAGAAGTATAGAAGGCAAAGGACTCAGGAGAATAAGGAGAGCAGTCGTAGAGCCAGAAATGAATATGCACAGATAAGAAGGAAGGCCCAACGACAATATGAAAATGACATAGCAGCGAAAGCCAAATCTGACCCGAAGCTGTTATACAGCCACATCAGGAGGAAAACAACAGTCAAGGACCAAGTAATCAGTCTAAGGAAGGAAGGAGGAGAGACAACAAGAAATGACTGTGAAGTATGTGAGGAACTCAACATGAGATTCAAAGAAGTGTTCACAGAGGAGACAGAAGGGGCTCCAGAAAAACGGAGAGGTGGGGTACACCACCAAGTGCTGGACACAGTACACACAACCGAGGAAGAAGTGAAGGGGCTCCTGAGTGAGCTAGATACCTCAAAGGCAATGGGGCCGGATAACATCTCTCCATGGATCCTGAGAGAGGGAGCGGAGGTGCTATGTGTACCCCTAACAACAATATTCAATACATCTATCGAAACAGGGAGATTGCCTGAGGCATGAAAGACAGCAAATGTAGTCCTATTCTTTAAAGGAGACAGACATGAAGCACTAAACTACAGACCAGTGTCATTGACATGTATAGTATGCAAAATCAGAAGAGTGGTGGAACACCTAGAAAGGAATGATCTCATCAACAGCAGCCAACATGGTTTCAGGGACGGGAAATCCTGTGTCACAAACCTACTGGAGTTCTATGACAGGGTGACAGCAGTAAGACAAGAGAGAGAGGGGTGGGTGGATTGCATTTTCTTGAACTGCAAGAAGGCGTTTGACACAGTTCCACACAAGAGATTAGTGCAAAAACTGGAGGACCAGGCAGGGATAACAGGGAAGGCACTACAATGGATCAGGGAATACTTGTCAGGAAGACAGCGGCGAGTCATGGTACGTGGCGAGGTGTCAGAGTAGGCACCTGTGACCAGCGGGGTCCCACAGGGGTCAATCCTAGGATCAGTGCTGTTTCTGGTATTTGTGAACGACATGACGGAAGGAATAGACTCCGAAGTGTCCCTGTTTGCAGATGACGTGAAGTTGATGAGAAGAATTCATTCGATAGAAGACCAGGCAGAACTACAAAGGGATCTGGACAGGCTGCAGACCTGGTCCAGCAATTGGCTCCTGGAGTTCAACCCCACCAAGTGCAAAGTCATGAAGATTGGGGAAGGGCAAAGAAGACCGCGGATGGAGTACAGTCTAGGGGGCCAGAGACTACAAACCTCACTCAAGGAAAAAGATCTTGGGGTGAGTATAACACAAGTGACATCTCCTGAGGTGCACATCAACCAAATAACTGCTGCAGCATATGGGCGCCTAGCAAACCTCAGAACAGCATTTCGACATCTTGGTAAGGAATGGTTCAGGACCCTGTACACCGTGTACGTTAGGCCCATATTGGAGTATGCGGCACCAGTTTGGAACCCACACCTAGCCAAGCACGTAAAGAAACTAGAGAAAGTGCAAAGGTTTGCAACAAGACTAGTCTCAGAGCTAACGGGTATGTCCTACGAGGAGAGGTTAAGGGAAATCAACCTGACGACACTGGAGGACAGGAGAAATAGGGGGGACATGATAACGACATACAAAATACTGAGATGAATTGACAAGGTGGACAAAGACAGAATGTTCCAGAGATGGGACACAGCAACAAGGGGACACAGTTGGAAGTTGAAGACACAGATGAATCACATGGATGTTATTCAAATTCAAAGTTTATTCTCTATAAAGATTACAATGTTGAATTTACAGAATTTGGTAGTTGTGTGGTTTACATGTAGTTAAATAATGATTACAGAGTGTACCACTAGAACGCCTAGCATGGCTAGGCATTTCGGGCAGACTTAGTTTAATTTTTTATTTTAAAATATTACAAATTATGAGGTAAGTTGGTATTATGGCTAAGTGACTAAATACTAGTTTGTGAGTTTGGCAATGTGAATGCTTTTGTTTTGGCACAGTACATAGTTTCAGTATTGCTAGGAAGTATTCCTTCAGCCACAGAGTAGTCAGGAAGTTGAATAGTTTGGGAAGCGATGTAGTGGAGGCAGGATCCATACATAACTTTAAGCAGAGGTATGATAAAGCTCACGGTTCAGGGAGTGACCCAGTAGCGACCAGTGAAGAGGAGGGGCCGGGAACTAGGACTCGACCCCTGCAACCTCAACTAGGTGAGTACGACTAGGTGAGTACACACACAGACACACAGACAGACACACAGACGCACACACACACACACACACACACACACACACACACACACACACACACACACACACACACACACACACACTCACCACACACATATATATATATATATATATATATATATATATATATATATATATATATATATATATATATATATATATATATATATATATTATATATATATATACATATATATATATATATATATATATATATATATATATTATATATATATATATATATATATATATTATATATATATATATATATATATATATATATATATATATATATATATATATATATATATATATATATATATAGGATGGGGTCCACCTCTGGTGTAAATTGTGGGACCCACAGCCTCGGAGAAGTGGATAAAAAGGCTTCAAGGAAGAATATTTGGATTTCTTCCTGAAGCCGTTTGAATATTCCACTTTACCCTACCACCCCATCTTTTCGTAATTTTTTTTTAACAATAGGAATATTTTATTATATATATATATATATATATATATATATATATATATATATATATATATAAAGGCATCCAAGACTTACGTTTTGGATCGCGGTATGTGGAATTATATGGTGATTGTGAAGAGACAGTGTGGAGCAGACACATCACCACCAGGATCACCACTATCACTGCTACCATCACCCTCACCATTGTTGTTCCTGTTATTAACATGGATAATTAAGATCCATTCTTGTTAGATAAAAAGACATTTTGTACAAAGCAAACTATTACTATAACTAACATTTTAATTTACCTACAAAACAGACTACAATAAATTTATTACTCAATATCAATTTTTTTTTTATCAGTCATTAATGGCCGACATCTGATAGCTAATGTTGAGTTTACATCCTTCTTATAATTCTGCCATTCTTTTATATTTTACAAAACAAACACTCTAACCTAGGTAATTTACACTATGTATGATAACTACACTTATGTGTACCTGTGCCTAAATAAACTTTCTGTCCATTTTTTTATTTAAGTTAGGTTAGACTGAGTTACGTTAGGTAAACTAGGTTTGGATGAGGTATTTTAGCTAAACCTGGAGTATACCTGGAGAGGGTTCCGGGGGACAACGCCCCCGTGGCCCGGTCTGTGACCAAGTTAGGTTTTTTATTTTTTTCTGGTTAAGTTGGTTATACATGGTAAGTTTTTTTTTTTTTTTTTTTTTTTTTTTTTTGTTTGGGTTAATTTTGGTTTAAAGAATGGTCATTTTACATAATTAATTATCAATACAAACTATATTGAAAAACGGTTATCTGTAATTTATGTAAAACACAACAATCTGTATTGCAAAAGTTATTTAATAGTATTTGACATTTTAAATTAAAAAAATGCCCGAAATTCCCAGGACTTCAGCTGAATATTACACCCATCCAATATATTCTGTACGGTAGTGAATTTCACCTTACATTACTGTAAGTTTATTTAGGTACAGAAACATGTAAGTACAATTATCATACGAAGTATAAATTACCAGATAACCTCAAAGAAGTCTAGTGCTTTTTTCACTTTTTCCAAATGAAATTTAACCACACTGTCCATTACCTAAAAAACACACATACCTCCTTTATTACAGTTAACAATACGAAATACATCAATATATCAAAAAAATGAACCACAACTTTACTTCCCTGTATGATGCAGACTTCAGCCAAAATTTGTACTTTGGGTAAAAGACACTTTTATATATGGGGTTCCTAAGGTTTCTTAAATTTTTTTTAATAACAACAAACAAAAATTTGGCAGACATGCAACACCCCCCCATGAAAACAGGGGTGTCCTACACGTTAAAGACCTAAATAAGTGTAGGGGCCCGAACTGTTCAACTGCCCCCCACATACATAAGGGGGATTACCAATAGACCCCTGGTGTTTTCAAGCTGGCACTGGACAAGCACCAAAAGGGGGTACCTGCCCACCCGGGGCGTGGTCGTACGTTGGTTTGCGTGAAAGCCAGCAGTAACACCTGGTTGATCAGGCTCGACCCGCCAGGGGGGCTGGTCACACCCCCCCGGAATCTCTCCGGAAAATTTCCCAGGTATGTTTCAGAAATTGTTTTTCTGACGGTATGCATTTTTTTTGGGTCTTTTCTTCACTCTCACCAAATTCCGACAAATGGGGGAAAAAATTTTCGCATTGCATATAGGGCTCGAACGGCGTTTGATTCGACTAAGTACGAGTGGCCCTATAAATTCTCCATAATCCTTAAAATAAAAGTAAGATAAGATTTTGTTCGATTTTTACCCCCAGGGGTTAGCCCCCCGGGAAAACCAAGAAAACAGGCGTCAATGACGTCTTATTCCATTGGGGTTCCCGTGCCCGGTGGCTAAAGCCCTCGTTTCTAGGGGTGAGGGTAGGTTCGTTTTCCCGGGCGGGGGGTGAAAAAATTGGGGTTTTTCCCTTTACATGGTTGACTATTTTCCCCCTCAAAAAAAAGGGTATTTGGGGTGTTAGTCGACTGGTGTGGGTCGCTCCCCGGGACAAAAAAATTTACCTAATTTGCCGGAAACGCTCTGCATAAAAAGGGACTTTGATGTGTGCATGTCAGTGTGTCAGTGGGCTGTATACCTTGTTCTGTACTTGTAGTATGTCATGATGTCAGTAGGGGTGTTACCTTGTACGGTCTTGAGTATGCAGTGATGTCAGCTAGGGCTGTATACCCTTTTAATTTACTTGTAGTATGCAGGTTTTTCAGCTAGGGCTGTATCCTTGTACATGTACTTGTAGTATGCACTGATGTCAGTAGGACTGTTACCTTGACATGTACTTGAGTTGTCATGAGTCAGCTAGGACTGTATACCCTTTTAATGTACTTGTGTAGTCACTGATGTCAGCTAGGGGCTGTATCCTTTTCATGACTTGAGTATGTCAGTGTGTCAGCTGGTGTATACCTTTTACATGTACTTGTAGTAGGGCACTGATGTCAGCTAGGACTGTATACCTTTTTCATGTACTTGTAGTTGTCACTGATGTAGCTAGAAATGTATACCTGTACATGTACTTTTAGTATTCAGTGATGTCAGCAGGATGTATACCCTTGTACATGTACTTGTATATGTCATGATTCGAGGGAAACTGTTACCTTGTACATGTACTTGTAGTATGTCACTGATTCAGCTAGGACTGTAACCTTTTCATTACTTGTAGTAGTCACTGATGTCAGTAGGACTGTATACCTTGTACTGTATTGTAGTATGTCATGATGTCAGCTAGGACGAACCTTGTCATGACTTTTAGTATGTCGTGATGTCAGCTAGGGGCTGTATACCTTTTACATGTACTTGTAGATGTCAGTGAGTCAGCTGGACTGTTACCTTTTACATGAAATTGTATATGTCACTGATGTCAGCTAGAACTGTTACCTTGTACAGTACTTTTAGTAGTCAGTGATGTCAGCTAGGATGTATCCCTTTTACATGACTTGTAGTAGTCACTGATGTTTACTAGAACTGTATACCCTTTTACTGTACTTGAGTATGTCATGTGTCAGTAGGCTGTTACCTTGTACATTACTTTTAGTATGTCATGAGAGCTGGACTGTATACCTTTTACAGTATTGTATATGTCACTGATGTCAGCTAGAACGTATCCTTGTACTGTACTTGAGTAGTCAGTGATGTCAGCTAGGACTGTATACCTTTGTACATGTACTTGAGTAGTCAGTGATGTCACTAGGACTGTATACCTTGTACATGTACTTGTAGTATGTCACTGGTCAGCTAGGACTGTATACCTTTTACATGTACTTGTAGTATTCAGTGTTCACTAGGACTGTTACCTTGTCAGTACTTGTAGAGCGTGATGTCAGTAGGGTGTTTTAAATTGTAATGTATTGTAGTAGTCAGTGATGTCACTAGGGACTGTTACCTTTTAAAGATTGTAGATTCATGGTCGCTAGGACTGATACCTTTACATGTACTTTAGTATTTAGATTCACTAGGTGTTACCTTTTCATGTACTTTAGTATGCACTGAGTCACTAGGATGTATACCTTTACAACTTGTAGTATGTCTGATGTCAGCTAGGCCCGGTATACCTTTACATGTACTTGTGTAGTCACTGATGTCATAGGGCTGTATACCTTGTACATTACTTGTAGTAGTCTGATTTTCAGCTGGCTGTATACCTTTACATTTTTTGTGATGTCACTGAGTCAGCTAGGGCGTTAAACCTTTTACAGTACTTGAGTACACTGATGTCAGCTAGGACTGTATACCTTGTACATTATTGTGTATGTCCTGATTAGCTAGGGCTGTAACCCTTTTACATGTATTTTAGTAGTCAGTGATGTCAGCAAAGGGCTGTATACCTTGTAATGTACTTGTAGTATGTCCGATGTCAGCTAGGACGTATACCTTGTACATTTACTTGGTATTATGAGTCAGTAGAAGTTACCTTGTAATTTCTTGTAGTTGTCAGGATGTCAGCTAGGCTGTATACCCTTTTACATTACTTGTAGTATGCAGTGATGTCAGCTTGGACTGATACCTTGTCATGTACTTGTAGTAGTCACTGTGTCAGCTAGGACTGTTACCTTGTACATTTACTTGTATATGTCACTGATGTAGCTAGGACTGTATCCTTGTACAGTACTTTTAGATGCGTGTGTCACTAGGACTGTATACCTTGTACATGTACTTGAGTATGTCGTGATTCACTGGCGTATACCTTGTACATTATTGTAGTATGTCATGATGTCAGCTAGGATGTTACCTTTTTACAACTTTTTAGTATGCACTGATTCAGCTAGAACTGTATACCTTGTACATGACTTTTAGAATGTCAGGATGTCACTAGGATGTATACCTTGTACTGTATTGTAGTATGTCACTGAGCAGCTAGAACTGTATACCTTGAAGTACTTGTATAGTCAGTGATGTAGTAGGTGATATTTTTAATGAACTTTTTAGTATGGGGGTATGGCGTAGGATGATACCTTTTACAACTTTATATGTCATGAAGTCAGCTAGAAAATGTATACCTTGTACATTTTTGTGTATGTCAGGGTTCACTAGGCTGTATACCCTTTACATGTCTTTTAGTATGTCAGTGATGTCCGCTAGGACTGTATACCCTTTTACAGTAATTGTAGTATGTCATGATGTCAGCTTGGACTGTATACCTTGTACAGTACTTGTATAGTCACTGATGTCAGCTAGGATGTATACCTTGACATGTAGTAGTATTCATGATGTCCTAGTACTGTATACCTTGTACATTACTTGTAGATGTCAGTGAGGCAGCTAGGATGTTATTGTACATGTACTTTTTATTATGCATGATGTCACAGGATGTAACCTTTTACATGTATTGTAGTATGCATGATGTCAGCTAGGACTGTATACCTTGAAAAGTACTGTAGTATGTCATGATGTCCTGGGCGTATCCTTTACATGTTTGTAGTATGTATGATGTCGCAGGACTGTATACCTTGTACATTACTTGTAGTATGTCATGTGTCAGCTAGGACTGTAACCTTTACATGTATTTTAGTATGTCATGATTCAGTAGGACTGTATACCTTTCATTACTTTATAGTCATGATGTCAGCAGGGGCTGATACCTTGACATTATTGTAGTATGTCATATGTCAGCTGGACTGTATCCTTGTAAGTTTGTAGTATGTCATGTGTAGTAGGCTGTAACCTTGTACA